AAAACAGAGTGTTGGCTATAGAAACGAGCGAAAATTTATATACATATATATATATATATAATATACATCTCATGTTTATTGTCTTCAAATAAGAAGAAAAACTGTTTTACTATTTAAATTTTGCCTTATGATTCACATATTTATGTGATTTACTCCAATAAAGAAATCAGCTTATTCTTCTTTGTATAAAATAAATAACTTTCATTATCATATTTATAAATTTACATGCGTGACAAATCCAATTAATTCATTGTAATCGACTTAATGATTTCGAAAGATTATACGTGTTTCTCATTCAGCCTGATTCTGTATATTCTATTTTAAATTTGCATCAGTGAAAAAAGAAGTTGAGACTACTATATGTTACAAAATGATTCATTAATTTAACGAAGGAGAGCCATGTAGTTCTTGTAAATGCTGTGTAAAACATAAAGTTAGTTCAACGACACACGAATATAATATTTGCATATAAAAGTAATATAATACTTTTCAAATAATGCATCTCTCTCTATGCTAAACACAATACGTGAATTCATAATTCTGATTACCGATATAACCCAAGAGTGAAAACAACAGACTTGTATAAACGAGGAAACAAAAGAGAAAAATGTCCAGTGCTTCATTGTGAATACAAAACCCTAGTTATAAACGTACATGCGCGCGTACATGGTAAAATACATATAAGGCAAATGAGATTTCAGCAAGCAGAGAATTACGTAATGTAGCATAAAGACGGTTACTGAGAACTATGAGGATTATTACACCGAGAACGATTCTAAGAGTTACGTGAGTAAATATTCATTCAGTGGCTTGTTACATCGTTTTATGTCCGTGTATTTATGAACTAGATTAGGACAGTTTTTACGAATGCGGAGAAGCGGATTTGTCGGCGGGAAGCGTTCAGCTCATTTCGACGGAAGTGCTCACTAAAGAGTTTTAATGTTAAATGGAACGTTTGACAAACGCAGTACAATGTAAATGCGTACCGGAAGATATGAGATTTGTCGTTACTTTTTAATCGAGAAAAAGATAGTACTGCCAGCGAAGTATCACGCTCCTTTTTAGCAGGAAATGATCGTAGCTTTACGTTGCCATGTACAGATTTAGGGTAACCTCAGGAAGTATAAAAAAAAGAAAGGTAGATCATATAAATTAATATCTTCTCGCATAAATTACTTTACCTTATACTGCGTTTCGTTTGTGTATAACACTACAAACCTTATCTTTTTGTAATAACTCATAGGTCTATCCAAATTGTATATAGAGAATAAGGTTCTGTACTTGTAATAAAATACAATCAAAAGAAAAAGGAAGTTTCAGTGCGAGGGCAGAGTGAAAACCGTGACAATCACTTGCCGTCTAACGAGATACGAAAAAGAATGTAGGAAGGATTTATACGGGAGCTAAATTATTATTATTAAATTATTGCTATTCTCTCAACGACAGATTTCCTCTGTGAATTTGGCATCGATTTTTCCTGTACTGTAATACTTTTTTCCTAAAAATTTATTACAAAGTTGCGCGTAATTTACACAAAAGGCAGCACGTAAACTGCTATTTATTTATACAAATTACGAAAAATTTACACCGTATTGTTATTTTATCATTTGCACGTGTAAGTTCTTCATATCAATCTCATTGATCAGCGATCTCGCAAATGTAGTAGCGTTAGCTTCTTTGTTCAAGAAATCCGAGACTAGCTGCGACGCCGGCTTGCCGCCTCCGTGCGCTAAGCACTCCCTTCGATAACGGTCACCCGCTGATCGGCAAAACGGATCATTGTGGAAGTAGGTTTGCCATATCCAAGCAGCGATCGCACGGGAGATCAAGTAGGAGTAGTACTTCGCGCCGTAGCCAACCAAGTGAGAAAATCTCAGTTGCCATGCCTGTAAACGACCACGACGTACTTCATTTGTATTGTCAACAGTTGTATGTGTCAATGAATTTAACTTAACCATACAAAATCGAGAGATTTAAATCTCTTTGTACAAATATTATTTGTTCACACAATCAATAACGCTTTGAAAAGAAATTAATACGAGAATACGTACCGTGTTTTGTACGTACGGTAAACCGTAGTATCCCCTCTGTACATCTGCTAAAATTTCAGTAGTGGATTTCGTCAGTTCACCGCTGTGATACACCTGATCCAGCATACTGTAGAACACCTGATTTTGCAGCTCGGATGCGCAGAAAATATTCTTCGATGCGCACAGTTTGTGCAACAGATGCTCCGGCATCGGCTCTCGAGTTTGGAAATGCTTTGCGAATCTCGACACAACCTGTACGATTACGCAAGCGAATTTATCGAGGTCGATTTGAGTCGCCTTTAAGGCTCCTGCTGCAACTGTTCTTGTTTCATAACATTAGAAGCGTGAAAACGTATGTCAAGAATCTTGCGTTATACGTTCCAATAAAAAGATATATTCACTAAATAACATTTGTGATAGATTCAGTACACTTATAAAATTGTCCGTGCACTTTTATTTTATTCGAACAATCAATAAACAACTGCAAAATTAATCTGTCACGGAACCATTCGTCTTAACCTTTTTTCTCAAGATTTTGTCAATAGTAATTTTACGACTATTTATTGCTTGTTCGAATAAAAGAAAAGTGCACGGACAATTTTACAAGTGTACTGAATCGATCACAAATGTCATTTTGTGAGTATATCTTTTTATTTAAACATATAACGCAAGAATTAGACATGTGTTTTCTCGCTTCTGATGTCATTAAACAAAGACAGTTGCAGCGATTACCCAGGAGCCTTAAATATTAAAGCGCTTTTGGGGCGATAAGTAACTTATATCGACTTGTTGTATCTTGGAGTATTTACCCTGGGATCGCTCGCAAAATATTCCATCAACACACTTGGCACTTCTGCGAAATCTGTGCTGCACCGAGTGCCGGTTACATGTTGATACTTTGTTCGACCGAGCATAGAATGCAACGCGTGCCCCATTTCGTGAAACAGATTGTCCACGGACGACGGACTCAGCAAACACGGATTCAGCCAGTGTGGATGCGGCAGTGACAGCATGAGTACAACTATAGGACTCTGAGGATAACGATAATGCTATAGCAAGATTGTTGCAATTCTTGCAATTATATGTAGAACAAATAAGAACAATAATAAAGACACACAGAATGAATCACTCTTTTCAAAATTTGCTTGTGTGTCAGACAAAGATAAAATAATATTAAAAAGTCGACTGCTACGTAATTTGATATGAGCCAATGGTAAAAAATATACAAAATTTCACACCTGATAAGAACCGTCCGGCAGTTGCTTTCCACCTTGAATCGTAAAGTGGCAGTCTTGATTCGGTTTGCCCGCTCTTTCGTAAAAATCGCAGTAAATGTAACCCAACGTTCCCTCGTCCTCGTCTATTACAGCCAGCTTATGAACGTTATTAGCCCATACTTCTCCGGTCAGTACCGGCACGGACTCGAGCCTGACTCCGTATAACGACTGCGTAAGAATATTTATGCCCTCCATGCAAGCACCAAGGGAAAAGTACGGGGCGAATTCGGTGGAGGAAGTGTTCAACCAAGCCTTTTTCACTTTAGCCATGAAATAATTGGTGTCCCATGGCATTAGCTCCTGTTTAGCAATTCCAAGAATCAGACAACTGTACCAAATGCAATTGCATACGAACGATGTTAGCTAAGGATAGATATGCATACTTGTCTCACAGATGACTCGGCGTCTTTCATCTTTTGCATCTCTTGAAAGTCTTGTGCCGCTTTAGACCGCAAATTTTCGTTCAGTATATTAAGAAATTCTGTCACTACGGTCGGTGACTCGACCGTACTCCCTTTCACAGCTCTGAGAAACAATAATACATTTTTACAACATAGGAGAAATTACAATTGAAACTCGACGTTTTATTACAGAAATTGCATACCTGTGAGCGTAAGATGCAAATCCACAGAATTCCGCTAGTAGATGCCTGGAACTCAAAAGTTCATGCAGCAGATACTCTTGTTCTTCATCGGGGTACAAAAATAATTTGTACGCTGCTTCGCGAACGGCGGTATTGGAGGAGTCAGTATAAAGTCCTTGCACTAATATCTGACCATTCTCTGTCACAAAACTGCGAAATCAACGAGGTATCTTTCTAAAGCTTGTACCTTTGAAAAGTTTGGAACGGAACCATGAAATTCGGTTAAACGAAGAGACAAATTTACATTATATTGAATTGTTATACTCACTACTGTCTAACAACATCGGGTAACGCATTAGCATTAACTGCTCTTGGTATGACAGCACCGGTCATAAATTTCTGACCTACCTACAAATGGAGAGAAAATCATACTTATGAATTTAAACAAGATATTGAAAATACTGTTGATAAATATTTACTTGCAAAATGTAGTCATTTAGTTCGACCACTTTTCTCCTATGCTTCTCAGGCAAATGTATGCCGCATTGTTCAAAATCGAATAAAAATAATTTAGCTACATGATTATCTATATTGGAGGTTTTCTGAATATCTCCGTTACATGTCACTTGTTTTAATGAGTCATACAACTCACGATGTGTATTTAATCTATATTGAACAATTTAGCCTTTATAAATGTCACACACTTAAAAAATATTATATGATACAAATATATATAAAATATTATTTAAAAAATAGGCTTACTTTTCAACTACACCGCTAACAGTTATACAAGCATCCTCAGCTGCTCTTACATACTGTTCATCAGAATGTGCAATTCTGATAAATTCTGCCATATCCGCTACTTTGCATAACGTATCAGACAGTTCGTCAAATATTTCTACCATTTTTCTCTTTCTGTCCTTGCTTGTAGCTTCATCAATAAGAATATCTACTTGCGTCAATGCACGATTTTTTAATATGTAAAAGCCATCCTCATTTTTCAACTCCGGAATACCAAATAATCCCTTCAAAATATTTTAAATTATAAAATGTACATTAAAATATATATGTATGTATTTTTGTGAAATAACATGGCTAAAAAAAATAAAACTTTATATTATTATGAAAGTTTATACGATTGTAAGAGCTGTAGAGATTATGTATAGGTTACTCATTAACTCTCATTTGAGATAGTAGTTTATCATAATTAACACAACAAAAATAATAAAACAAATGAACATAACACAAGCAAACGTGATAAAACTATAAATTAATTAATTCTGACTATGTTTTAAGGACAAATCGGCATTTGAATAAACTTGTATACATTTTTACCGTTTCTTTTTTCGATATATTTAGGAAATTTTGATCGATACTGGAATTAAATACCGTGGCGAGACCTGACCACGTATTTAATCTTCTGCTATTTCTTATACTTCGAAAAGTTTGTCTCTCAAATATTCGTAACATCTTGGAGAAGAATATAGGTTAGATTGTGACAGACGAATTATATACACATAGGCGCGTTCCACTTACCGCTCGTAACGATGCGAGCGTCATTCTTCGTTTCTCATTGGATGTTGAATAAAGATAGAATAATGCTCGCGTCGTTGTGAGCGTTAAGTGGAACCTGTTCTAATATGTATATATATATATATACATATATACAATCGAGCTTTTGTAATCTCATATGGATATTGCAACTGGAGGTTCAGCCGCGGAAAGAAGAGCGGATGAACAGAAAAAGAGGGAGGCCACCGAAAGAATGAAAACAAGATCAAGAAGTCTACGAAGTCCATTTAGAGGAAAAGTTCATTTTTATTTAACAAGGACAGTTAGGTTACAAAAACAGTTTTATTTTATAAGAAAAGATTATTCCGGTTTTACAAGAACAGCTACGTTATAAGAACAATTTTATTTATAAGAAAAATTTACTTTGGTTTTGAAAGAACAGTTATTATAAAGGAATAGTTTTATGATAAAAGAAGAATTTATTTGACCCTATAAGTCATTTCTCGAGAATTACACATTCTATAAAAACAGCCTTAAAAGATCTAGGGAAAAAGAATTTAGTGTAATATCACAGAGTTTATTATTTACATAAATATAGCTTGAAAAAAGTAAAAAGTTGTTTAAAAAACCAGAATAAAAGTAAAAGAAAACCCCCGGTAAGGGATACCGCAAACTAAAACTAATATGAATGCGAGGGGCGATTGTGATTGGTGGGGGCCGCTAGCGAATCGGAAAGCGTCGCGGAAGGAAGAGAACGTTTGAAATCAAAGAAGAGGGAAAGGCGGAGAGTGGCAAGCAGACACTGGAGGCGATAGGACGCATAATTGAGGAAGCTCGGAACTGCTGAGACGAAGGAGACGAGGGATCCTCGAGAAGTTGCTGCCGAAAGGGAAAGCCTGCGGCCTGGTGCGCACCTGCTGGTGGAGGCCCAGGAGACGAGGGAGAACGACCGGTCGCCGCTGCGGTAAGTGATGTATAAGATTGCTACAGTTCCTCTCTGCGTAATCTTCCCTCTTCCCAGAAACCCCGCGTCGGAAACCCAAGACGTCGCACGCGTGAAAATACGCGGATCGCGACGTAAGTTCACGAAATCGGGGAATTCCGCTAGGGAGAAAAACCCATCATCGGTGGGATCAAAAAAACGGCTCTATGCGCTAACCGACGCGAATTGCGTCACCTTATCGCGCACGGCCAATCTTGTCGGGACTTGCTCACGACAAAGGATCTACGTCGCAATAGAGCGACATAAAAGAAGCAGCGAGCGACGCCGCGTTGCGATACGTTTTCTTTATCGGCGTAATTATTCGCGGAATACTTCCGTCTCACACATACATGTTATTTTGTTGCTTAGATTACTATATACTTTTGTGTCGTCCGTATTATATTTTTTCAGTGATTTATCCTATTATCGTTAGTTGCGTCGTATTATACTTATTACTCGTATGTACAGATTTATTCCGTATTTCCTACGTGCGTTAATTGATATCAAATCTATCATATTATTTTGTTTCTTTTTCTTTATTTAGTTTTACTTTAAATTCTTATAGTATGTATGAATCCGTATTTTTTGTTAATTCGGTTATCATTAGCCACTTTGGTAATTTTCTTTGATATTACAAATAGATTTCATCTTATCTGTTTAAAAAGTAAGTGTTTCCTTTTCTTCTTTTTTGCGTGTTTCCCATTTTACATAGTGTGGGCCACTGACAGGCGTCCCGTGGCTCGAACATTCTCTTCGGAGACGATAGCGCTGCCGGGGAGGGAAATCCCCTCGTGCACACCTTATCATATCTGGGGGAGATTTGGCCTGTCCAGTTTTCCGGGCCTGGAGTTTGGGCGAAGCTCTCAAAAACGTCCTGGCGACCGTGGACGGGCAACGGGATCCGTGGGGAACTTCACTTCGAAAGGTTCGGCCGGACCTGGATGATTAAACGTCGAGGTTTTCACTCAGCTAGTGACATCCGGTCACAATGTATGGGAAAACTCTAGTGTGGCACAAATTAAAATTTTAATTTATATTTTAATCATTTTAAATTAATTAAAAATACGTATATTTTTGTCCTTTCTCAATTATATATGTATGCACGACTCACACAATAAACAATTAAATTTATCAACAAATTAAGATTTAAATGTAAATTTAAATGTGAATTTAATGACCGGCTAAGAAATATATTTCATATATAATGTGTATAAATATACATAATTAACTAACTATACATAATTATATTAAATTATGTATGAAATTTATCCATATAGAATTATATTTAATACTAATCATACATAATTATGTATGATTAGATATGATTAGATATAATTATATCTGATTACTATTATACAATTTTTTTCTCCATGCATGCAAGAAAGTCTGTCTTCAAGTATCAATATAAAAGAAATGGTCAAAAGTTTTTTATAGTATCAAAAGTGCACTAATCTAAGTAACTAAGTAATAATAAGATAATTTTATATAATTATATTTAATCACACATAATTATGTATAGTTAATATAATTAATATTAAATAATTATATATGGACAAATTTCATACATAATTTAATATAAATATATATAATTATATTTATACGTGATTATAGGTGTGTTCGGGGAGATACTACTAACACTATAAACGCAACTCTATACACTACTAATGCTGTTCGTGGGGCCAATAGCGCGAAAGCGTTAGCAAGTTCCATGAACGGCATTAGCGTAGCGTTAGCATTTGGTCCGTTCTTTTTAGCTGCACTGCTGAACTGGTGCAATAAGTTAGAATAAAACAAATATATTTTATCTCACTCTAATTTATTACATAAGTTCAGCAGTACAGCTAAAAAGAGCAGATCAATTATTGCGTTGTACTGTTTTGAATTTCTTCTATTCTTCTTCGATTTAGGTTAAATTTTTTTAAGATTAAGTCAAATATCGCAGTTTAAACTCGTCTTCAATTTCAACATACCGAAGCTTTATTTTCACGAAATTGGTTTGACCGAGTGTCACTAAACAAGTAGATAAAGTCAATGTTAAGCCGTCCGACCGCACAGAACATCTAGAGGTTGTCTTCTCCACGGATCCCGCTGCCCATACACGGTCACCAGGGTATTTTTCGAGTTCCGCCCAAATTCTTGGCCTAGGAAGCTGGACCGGCCAAGTCTCCCCAGATGTGCCGTACAGTAATGTGTGTGTGGAGGGATTTCCCTCCTCCACAGCGCTGTCGTCTCCGAAAAGATGATCGAGTCGCGGGACACCCGTTTCGGACACTCAGTATGAAAAATGGGAAACACTTACTCTTTAAAACAGATAAGATGAAATATATTTGTAATATCAAAGAAAATTACCAAAGTGGCTAATGATAACCGAATTAACAAAAAATACGGATTCATACATACTATAAGAATTTAAAGTAAAACTAAATAAAGAAAAAGAAACAAAATAATATGATAGATTTGATATCAATTAACGCACGTAGGAAATACGGAATAAATCTGTACATACGAGTAATAAGTAAAATACAACGCGACTAACGATAATAAGATAAATCACTGAAAAAATATAATACGGACGACACAAAAGCATATAGCAATCTAAGCAACAAAAGAATATATATATGTGAGACGGAAGTATTCCGCGAATAAATACGCCGATAAAGAAAACGTATCGCAACACGGCGTCGCTCACGGCTTCTTTTATGTCGCTCTATTGCGACGTAGATCCCTTGTCGTGAGCAAGTCCCGACAAGATCGGCCGTGCGCGATAAGGAGACGCAATTCGCGTCGGTTAGCGCGTTGAGCCGTCCTTTTGATCTCGCCGAAGATGGGTTTTTCTCCCGAGCGGAATTTCCCGATTTCGTGTACTTATGTCGCGATCCGCGTATTTTCACGCGTGCGACGTCTCGGGTTTTCGATGCGGGGTTTTCGGGAAGAGGGAAGATTACGCGGATATGAACTGTGGCAATCTTATACACCACTTAGCGGCGACCGGTCGTTCTCTCACGTCTCCTGGGCCTCCACCAGCAGATGCGCACCAGGCCGTCCTCGCAGGCTTTCCCCTTCGGCAGCAGCTTCTCGAGGATCTCTTGTCTCCTTCGTCTCCGCAGTTCCGGGCTTCCTCAACTATGCGTCCTACCGCCTTCAGTGTTCGCGCAAAACAGTCGCCCTTGCTTCCTCTGCAATTTCGAACGTTGTCTGCTTTCCGCGATACTTCCTGATTCGCTGTTGGTCTTGGCCAATTGCAGTCGCCCCTCAGTATCTCGCGCAGGCGCACGCGTGGCCATCGTCGGTCTCCTCCAAACCTCTCGTTCGTTTCTCGTTCTAACCAATTGCCTCTCACCCACGCGGTTCCAGCGCACGCGCGTTTCCTACTTTCAGTTTGGTTTTTATTTAAAAAAAAACTTCTGCTTTGTGCGGTCTTCCTTTTCTTCCGGTCAGCCGCGCTCTCTTACCTCCGGTTGCACTGTTCATTATGTACAGGAATAATAGTAAAATAATGAATACGATGCATTTGTATTGTACGATATTCATGTGCAGGAACTGACATACAGTGTGATGCAGTTCTGGGTCAGTGCTGCGATCAGTGCTGCGATTTCGAGTGGGGGGCGAAAGGCCGTTGGGCGAGTCCTTCGCAGCTCATTCTCTTAAGCCAGCAGCACACGATGCTTGTTTCCGTGCTGGAGTGCTTGCTGGATAGAAATTCTGCGTTCTGACTGGTGCACTTCCAGAAATGGAGGACAATACACCAATTAAAACGCAGTATTTTCATCCAGCAAGCAATCCAGAAATAAGCATTCTGTGTCGCTAGCCTTACGCTGTGATCGGATGTCACTAACTGAGTAGAAAAGTCGACGTTTAAGGGCCATCCAGGCCCCGCCGAACCTTTAGAAGTGAACTTCCCCAAGGATCTCGCTGCCCGTCCACGGTTGCCAGAGCGTTTTGAGAGTTTCGCCCAAACTCTAGGCCCGGGAAGCTGGACCGGCCAAGTTTCCCCAGATATGCCGTGTTACCAGGTGTAGAAGTATGAAACCAGAATTTCCCTATAGATGGTGCTA